AATTCCAGCATTCTCAGTCGATGCCACTGACAAGCGTGCGTCTTGAGGCTAGGAAAGATTTTGAAGCCTTATTCAGCACTCAATGCCGTTCAACAAAGTGAAGCAAGACTTGGCGACCAAAGAAATCGAGCAACGGCTGAAAGAGGAAATAGAAAAACAGAGATTGAATGAAACACTCTGCATGGCAAGACCCGAACCAGAGACCGGAACGAACTCAATGAGCAGGAGCAATTGCAACATCTTGAAAATGGTGACTGGAAAACCATTTGGCATCACAAAAATTGGGGCAATAACAAAAATTGGGGCCAAAAAAATACTCGTTCTGAGAAGGCAGGAACATGCAAGGTGGGAGCCAATCACAAAGGTCGTCATGGTACAAGCCTAGAGACGACATGGACAAATGTAGGTCAGGCGCATTTTGTGAATCAGCAAATCATGTGGCGGATAGCACGACATACAAGCAAGGTATGAAAAGCTTGGGATAAGCACCAGAGGAAGAGGATATGAATGAAACGGGGGAAAATGAGTTTCAGAGTGGCTTGATCATCAAGATAGGCTCAAGGTAATTTTTTGTAACCAAGAAGGCCATTTCAGGATGGAATGTCCTTTGTTTTGGGAGGCGATGAAGAATCGGAATCACCTTTAACACAAGCTGGCACTAGCTGCGGTGCAAATTACCAGGAATAGACAAGCTGAAAAGGACTTGAACAACAAAGAGGCAGCGAGTAGTGAATTATCAACAAAGACAAAAGTCGAAGATGCCACAGGGACAAAAGTCGAAAGTCGAAGATGCCACAGGGGCCGAGACGAGGAATTCACTCGAGATAAACTACGAGAAAGCAGCTGCAGAGGCGATCAACAAAAGGAAACAAGACTTGGCGACCAAAGAAATCGAGCAATGGCTGGAACAGGAAATAGAAAATAAGAGATTGAATGAAACACTCTGCATGGCAAGACCCGAACCAGAGACCGGAACGAACTCAATGAGCAGGAGCAATTGCAACATCTTGAAAATGGTGACTGGAAAACCATTTGGCATCACAAAAATTGGGGCAAGAATCATGTCAATAATCACTTGAGTGAACCGAGTGATCAGACATAAATGCACACCGATGTGTACGCGGATTACTTGAGCGCAATAAGCCCGCAAACCCTTTCTAGAGCTTTAGGGGCATTACTCACGAGAGGTGCTAGTAAATCAGATCGCATAGACAGATACACGGAAGCCTATGGTCCATATGAGGTCATGTTGAGTATAGTTGGAAAAAACATATACACAAAAACGATGATAACGTGTGATGAATATCTAGCCGAGCAAATCTACGTTGGTAGAGAGGAATTAAAAGTGAGATCGATCCGACACTGCGCTATGTTAGAAGAAGATGCAATGCATCTGGAAACAGAGGCAGACGTATCTGTACACGTACTGGACATACGCGGGAAAAAGTTTCAACTGCGTGGGTTATTGGACACAGGAGCAGTCTTCAGTGTCATACCAACAAAAGATGGAAAAAAATGGGTTTCCGCAAAGATTACATGATAGAATCAAGAATACGGCTGTCAGCAGCAAACAAAGGGGCGCTGCGGGTTCTAAGTAGGACACCAAGAATAGCACTAAATCTGGGGGAACGCAATTTGTGGATGAGCTTTCTGGTGTTGGAGAATCTAGATGAGTCTGATCAATTTGTTTTAGGCAGAGATTTCATCAAGAATTTCGATGTAACAATTGATCTTAACAATGCGATGTTCAGGATTCGGAACACGGGAAGGAAGTACGTAAATAAACTGGTAAATTTGATAATGGCGAATGAAAAAAATGATCCAGTTTTCTTGAGTGGGAGGGCGAGGCTGAAAGCGAATGAGGCGGCAATAGTAAGAATATGGATGAAAAACTATAATGAACTAAGTGACAATAAACAAGAATGCATAATGCCGAATCCGAATAGTCAAAGTGCTGCTTTTTTAGGAAGATCCTTCTCGATAACCAAGAGGGGCCTCTGCGCCAGTGAAGGTTCCTTAGAGAGTTTGGAAAAACTCTGGGACAGCAACGAAGTGTACCAACACCTGAGCCAAGGGTCCTTGGAGAGTTCAGAAAAAGTCCTGGGACAGCAACGAAGCGAACCAACACCTGAGCGGAGGGTCCAAAGAGGGTTCAGAAAAGTCCGGGGACAGTAACGAAGTGTCCGAACACTTGAGTGAAGGGTCCTAGAAGAGTTCGGAAAAATCCTGGGACAGCAACGAAGTGTACCAACTCCCGAGCGAAGGGTCCTAGGAGAGTTGAGAAAAAATCCTGAGAGAGCAACGAAGCGAATCAACCCCTGAGCGAAGGGTACTAGGAGGGTACAGAAAAGTCCTGGGACAGTAACGAAGTGTCCGAACACTTGAGTGAAGGGTCCTAGGAGGGTTCATAAGTGCATAAGTGTACTAGGACAGTGCCAGAGTGTACCAGGATCCCATCGAAGTGTACTAACACTTGAGCAAAGGGTCCTTGGAGAGTTCAGAAAAGTCTTGGGACAGTAACGAAGTGTCCCAGCACTTGAGTGAAGAGTCCTAGGAGAGTTTGGAAAACTCCTGGGACAGCAACGAAGTGTACCATCGCGTGAACGAAGGGTCCTAGGAGAGTTCAGAAAAAGTCCTGGGACAGCAAGGAAGCGAGCCAACATCTGAGCGAAGGGCCCTAGGAGGGTTTGGAGAAGTCCTGGGACAGTAACGAAGTGTCCGAACACTTGAGTGAAGGGTCCTAGAAGAGTTCGGAAAAAATCCTGAAACAGCAACGAAGTGTACTAACGCCTGAGCGAAGGGTCCTAGGAGAGTTCAGAAAAAGCCCTGGGACAGCAACGAAGTGTACCAACGCCTGAGCGAAGGGTTCTAGGAGAGTTCAGAAAAGTCTTGGGACAGTAACGAAGTGTCCCAGCACTTGAGTGAAGAGTCCTAGGAGAGTTTGGAAAACTCCTGGGACAGCAACGAAGTGTACCATCGCGTGAACGAAGGGTCCTAGGAGAGTTCAGAAAAAGTCCTGAGACAGCAACGAAGCGAGCCAACACCTGAGCGAAGGGTCCTAGGAGGGCTTGGAAAAGTCCTGGGACAGCAACGAAGTGTACCAACACCCGAGCGAAGTGTCCTAGGAGAGTTCAGAAAAAGTCCTGGGACACCAACCAAGCGAACCAACATCTGAGCGAATCATACTAGGAGGGTTCAGAAAAAGTCCTGGGACAGCAACGAAGCGAACCAACATCTGAGCGAATGATACTAGGAGGGTTCAGAAAAGTCCTGGGACAATAACGAAAGTCCGAACACTTGAGTGAAGGGTCCTAGGAGGGTTCATAAGTGCATAAGTGTACTAGGACAGTGCCAGAGTGTACCAGGATCCCATCGAAGTGTACTAACACTTGAGCAAAGGGTCCTTGGAGAGTTCAGACAAGTCTTGGGACAGTAACGAAGTTTCCCAGCACTTGAGTGAAGAGTCCTAGGAGAGTTTGGAAAACTCCTGGGACAGCAACGAAGTGTACCATCGCGTGAACGAAGGGTCCTAGGAGAGTTCAGAAAAAGTCCTGGGACAGCAAGGAAGCGAGCCAACATCTGAGCCAAGGGTCCTAGGAGGGTTGGGAGAAGTCCTGGGACAGTAACGAAGTGTCCGAACACTTGAGTGAAGGGTCCTAGAAGAGTTCGGAAAAAATCCTGGGACAGCAACGAAGTGTACTAACGCCTGAGCGAAGGGTCCTAGGAGAGTTCAGAAAAAGCCCTGGGACAGCAACGAAGTGTACCAACGCCTGAGCGAAGGGTTCTAGGAGAGTTCAGAAAAACCCTGAGACAGCAACGAAGCGAGCCAACACCTGAGCGAAGGGTCCTAGGAGGGTTTGGAAAAGTCCTGGGACAGCAACGAAGTGTACCAACACCCGAGCGAAGTGTCCTAGGAGAGTTCAGAAAAAGTCCTGGGACACCAACCAAGCGAACCAACATCTGAGCGAATCATACTAGGAGGGTTCAGAAAAAGTCCTGGGACAGCAACGAAGCGAACCAACATCTGAGCGAATGATACTAGGAGGGTTCAGAAAAGTCCTGGGACAATAACGAAAGTCCGAACACTTGAGTGAAGGGTCCTATGAGGGTTCCTAAGTGCATAAGTGTACTAGGACAGTACCAATTGTACCAGGACTCCATCGAAATGTACTAACACTTGAGCAAAGGGTCCTTGGAGAGTTCAGAAAAGTTCTGGGACACTAAAGAAGTGCCCGAACACTTGAGTGAAGGGTCCTAGGAGAGTTTGGAAAAGTCCTGGGACAGCAACGAAGTGTACCAACGCCTGAGCGAAGGGTCCTAGGAGAGTTCAGAAAAAGTCCTGGGACAGTAACGAAGCGAGCCAACACCTGAGTGAAGGGTCCTAGGAGGGTTCAGAAAAGTCCTGGGACAGTAACGAAGTGGCCGAACACTTGAGTGAAGGGTCCTATGGGGGTTCATTAGTGCATAAGTGTACGGGGACAGTACCAAATTGTACCAGGACCCCATCGAAGTGTACCAACACTTGAGCAAATGGTCCTAGGAGAGTTCAGAAAAATCTTGGGATAGAAGGACGAAGGTTCCTAAGGCCTGAACAACGGGACTCAAAAATGATATAGACTAATTTTATTGGTTTTAGTTTTTAATACATTAGTTTTTAATACATTTTTAATACATTTTTCTTGTAATTTCAATACGATATTTCAATAAGGACTTGTAAAAATTAAAATTGTAGCTAATTGAAAATTGCATATATAAAAGTCATGAAGAGAAATAGGGTGTAGATAACTGAAAGAAAGGGAACAGGACTAAAGCAAAACCTACCTCAACGCAAAAGAAACCAACCCCAAAAAATCCGAGAGTAATGAAGAAGAACATTTCAGTGAATATGGTCAGCACATGAGGCAACAAGGAACAGAAGGCGAAAGAAAAAAACAAGAGAAGAACAAAGCATACCAGCAAGAGAGACTGAAATAGAAACACCAGATCAAAGTATAGATGGAATGAAACTGAAGGAGACGGAGTCAACACCGATGCCAAATACGGCAGAACAGGAAAACAACTCCATAGAGTTCTCACCAATATGCAATGGAGACGAGGCGACCAACACACCGGAGGCGATAAAAGACGACTCACAAGCGCAGAGAACGTCTTTTTTCACCGAGAGGATTGCTGCGATGGTCGGAATGAAGCCAAGAAAGAAGGAGGAGATAATGGCACCGACCGCGAAAAGCAAAACCATTGGGACAGTTTCCACGATAACGACGGAAACCAGGAAGGATAAAGAGGAAGCCACGCAAGAGGCAACAGCTATCCAAGATAAACGATCTGATGGAACGAAAACAACTTCAGTAGATCTGGGAGACTTAATGAAAAAATTTAATGATATAGACAAAAATTTGAAGTGCAGTGAGGAGGACCGCCAAGAGCTGAAGAAGGAAATAAGACACAACAAAAACGAGAACCTGGATAACTACTATGTCCTAGCAAGGGCCACGGAAGAAAAGCTACAACAGATGTCGGACAAGGTAGAGACTACCGACAAAGAGCGAGAGAAACATATCAAGAAGGTTATGGAAGAAAAGAAGAAACGGTAATACACCGTGAACGAGAAGTTGTGGACTTTAGAGACCAGAATGGATACGATGAGCAAGGATCAAGCTGAAAGTTCTTGTGCCATACAGTCCAAGCTGGATGCAACTTTGAGAAACTCCATAGCACAAGATAAATTCGTGACTTTGTAGATCCGCAACAGAAGAAACGGGAGTCTACACCGTTATCCCGGATTGCAACGAGCATAGGGACAGTAGCGTCCAAGACTACTATGAAGGTTGGAACCTCAAATTCGACGAATGCACGGGGAATCGAGTACATACACAAGTGTAAGACCTGACGTCATGAGGTGGGCGAGTACCTGGGAAATGACAAACAGAACACTTAAAGCATTTGCAACAAGAAATACAGACTCGAGTGACAGAGGAGGTGGTAAATCCAAAAAAACCTTCCAGAAACCGCAGGAATTTAAAGACGACTCGGTTGGCTGCATTTACACCTGGGTAGAAGTTATGAGACTACATCTAGAACAGGACAACCTGAATGACGAATGGCAGACCTGCGCAGCAATACTAAGCAATCTAGAGGGCACTGCACTAAAATAAGTGGTAACAAAGAAAGAGGAGGAGCGTGATACAGCAGAGAAAATCTTCCAGATACTGTTGAATCGATTCGGACCAGGAATGAAGGGTCATCAAGCAATGATGAGATTTGAAAAAAGAAGACAAAGGGAAGACGAGTCAGTCGATCGATTTTTGGATGATCTGGAGAGCTTGAGGAGGAGAAAGTGACCCGGAAGATTCGACGAACAGAAGAAACTTCAGCATCGCTTCAAAGTTTATTGACGGGTTCAGAAGTGACGACTTGAGAACGATGTTGGCAACGTATTATACACTTTAAAAAAATAATGCATCCACCCCAGAAGAGATGATCAAAAGTCAAGAGAGTACATGTTGATGAAACCAAAAAAGTACTCGTTCTCAGAAGGCAGGAACATGCAAGGTGGGAGCCAATCACAAAGGTCGTCATGGTACAAGCCTAGAGACATGCAATGGAGACGAGGCGACCAACACACCGGAGACGATAAAAGACGACTCACAAGCGCAGAGAACGTCTTTTTTCACCGAGAGGATTGCTGCGATGGTCGGAATGAAGCCAAGAAAGAACGAGGAGATAATGGCACCGACCGAGAAAAGCAAAACCATTGGGACAGTTTCCACGATAACGACGGAAACCAGGAAGGATAAAGAGGAAGCCACGCAAGAGGCAACAGCTATCCAAGACAAACGATCTGATGGAACGAAAACAACTTCAGTAGATCTGGGAGACTTAATGAAAAAATTAAATGATATAGACAAAAATTTGAAGTGCAGTGAGGAGGACCGCCAAGAGCTGACGAAGGAAATAAGACACAACAAAATCGAAAACCTGGATAACTACTATGTCTTAGCAAGGGCCACGGAAGAAAAGCTACAACAGATGTCGGACAAGGTAGAGACTACCGACAAAGAGCGAGAGAAACATATCAAGAAGATTATGGAAGAAAAGAAGAAACGGTATGACACCGTGAACGAGAAGTTGTGGACTCTAGAGACCAGAATGGATACGATGAGCAAGGATCAAGCTGAAAGTTCTTGTGCCATACAGTCCAAGCTGGATGCAATCTTGAGAAACTCCATAGCACAAGATAAATTCGTGACTTTGTAGATCCGCAACAGAAGAAACGGGAGTCTACACCGTTATCCCGGATTGCAACGAGCATAGGGACAGTAGCGTCCAAGACTACTATGAAGGTTGGAACCTCAAATTCGACGAATGCACCGGGGAATCGAGTACAAACACAAGTGTAAGACCTGACGCCATGAGGTGGGCGAGTACCTGGCAAATGACAAACAGAACACTTAAAGCATTTGCAACAAGAAATACAGACTCGAGTGACAGAGGAGGTGGTAAATCCAAAAAAAACTTCCAGAAACCGCAGGAATTTAAAGACGACTCGGTTGGCTGCATTTACACCTGGGTAGAAGTCATGAGACTACATCTAGAACAGGACAACCTGAATGACGAATGGCAGACCTGCACAGCAATACTAAGCAATCTAGAGGGCACTGCACTAAAATAAGTGGTAACAAAGAAAGAGGAGGAGCGTGATACAGCAGAGAAAATCTTCCAGATACTGTTGAATCGATTCGGATCAGGAATGAAGGGTCATCAAGCAATGATGAGATTTGAAAAAAGAAGACAAAGGGAAGACGAGTCAGTCGATCGATTTTTGTATGATCTGGAGAGCTTGAGGAGGAGAAAGCGACCCAGAAGAATCGACGAACAGAAGAAACTTCAGCATCGCTTCAAAGTTTATTGACGGGTTCAGAAGTGACGACTTGAGAAAGATTTTGGCAACGTATTATACGCGATCAAAAGTTAATGCATCAACCCCAGAAGAGAGGATCAAAAGTCAAGAGAGTACATGTTGATGAAACCAAAAAAATACTCGTTCTGAGAAGGCAGGAACATGCAAGGTGGGAGCCAATCACAAAGGTCGTCATGGTACAAGCCTAGAGACGACATGGACAAACGTAGGTCAGGCGCATTTTGTGAATCAGCAAATCATGTGGCGGATATCACGACATACAAGCAAGGTATGAAAAGCTTGGGATAAGCACCAGAGGAAGAGGATATGAATGAAACGGGAGAAAATGAGTTTCAGAGTGGCTTGATCATCAAGATAGGCTCAAGGTAATTTTTTGTAACCAAGAAGGCCATTTCAGGATGGAATGTCCTTTGTTTTGGGAGGCGATGAAGAATCGGAATCACCTTTAACACAAGCTGGCACTAGCTGCGGTGCAAATTACCAGGAATAGACAAGCTGAAAAGGACTTGAACAACAAAGAGGCAGCGAGTAGTGAATTATCAACAAAGACAAAAGTCGAAGATGCCACAGGGACAAAAGTCGAAAGTCGAAGATGCCACAGGGGCCGAGACGAGGAATTCACTCGAGATAAACTACGAGAAAGCAGCTGCAGAGGCGATCAACAAAAGGAAACAAGACTTGGCGACCAAAGAAATCGAGCAATGGCTGGAACAGGAAAAAGAAAATAAGAGATTGAATGGAACACTCTGTCTGACAAGACCAGAATCAGAGATTGGAGAGAACTCAATGAGAAGGAGCAATTGCAACACCTTGAAAAGGGTGATTGAAAAACCATTTGGCATCACAAAAATTGGGGCAAGAATCATGTCAATAATCACAGTGGGCAGCATCGAAGTGACAAGAAACTTGAGTGAACCGAGTGATCAGACAATAATGCACACCGATGAGTACGCGGATTACTTGAGCGCAATAAGCCCGCAAACCAATTCTAGAGCTTTAAGGGCATTACTCACGAGAGGTGGTAGTAAATCAGTTCGCATAGACAACAGATACACGGAAGGCTATGGTCCACATGAGGTCATGTTGAATAACGATGGAATAAACTTATACACAAAAACGATGATAAAGTGTGATGAAGATCCAGCCGGGCAAATCTATGTTGGTAGAGAGGAACTAAAAGTGAGGTCGATCGGACACTGCGCTATGTTAGAAGAAGATGCAATGCATCTGGAAACAGAGGCAGACGTATCTGCACACGTACTGGACATACGCGGGAAAAAGACTCAACCGCGTGAGTTATTGGACACAGGAGCCGTCTTGAGTGTCATACTAACTAAAACATGGAAAAAAATGGGTTTCGACAAAGATGACTTGATAGAATCAAGAACACGGCTGTCAGCGGCAAACAAAGGGGCGCTGCGGGTTCTAAGTAGGACACCAATAATAGCACTAAATCCTGGGGAACGCAATTTGTGGATGAGCTTTCTAGTGTAGGAGAATCTAGATGAGTCTGATCAATTCATTTTAGCCAGAGATTTCATCAAGAATTTCGATGTAATAATTCATATTAACAATGCGATGTTCAGGATTCGGAACCCGGGAAAGAAGTACGTAATAAAACTGGTAAATTTGATAATGGCGAATGAAAAAAATGCTCCAGTTTTCTCGAGTTGGAGAGCTAGGCTGAAAGTCAATGAGGCGGCAAGAGTAAGTTTGAGGATGAAAAATTTTATTGAACTGAGTGACAAAAAAACAAGAATACATAATGCTGAATCCGAATAGTCAAAGTGCTGCTATTTTAGGAAGATCCTACTCGATAACCAAGAGTGGCCTCTGCGCAGTGTCTTGTTGCATACTCTTGATATACCAATCACAATCCAGACTGGAAGGAAGCTGGTATACGCACTATCCGTGAAAATAGATATGAAATGACTGATAATGTGAAAGAAAATGAAGTTCTTGATTGCCCAAATCATAGGGTTAAGACTTATTGCTTGAGAAGATTGAAAAAAGGAAAAAATTCATCAAAAATTGTGAAGTTGCCTAAGTCAGAGACAGACGATGGACTTTCGAGCTGTTCGAATTTTCCGGAAATACCCACATTACCAGAAATAGAACACTTGAGGGGTAAGGTAACGGAGGAACAGCTCAAAGCCCTCAAGAGAGGGGGATGAGGTTAGAAGGGAGGCTGGTTACCATAGGGGTTAGCGGTTCAAAAATGTAAAATGGGGACACATTTTAGTAACTATACAATCGATATCGTCAATTTAGTTACATTAGTAGACCCAGAGTCTAGAACGATCCACCTATAGACTTAGAACAAAAGTTCAACGCAAGGAGATCCAATTTTAAGATCGAATTAAGGTAGGTATCCTGGTCGGATTAGGTGCGGGGATCCGAAATAGACAGTCTTTGGAACCCAAAACGAGAATACCCCATAAGATCGCTAGTAGGGGGGAGGAAAAACGCGTGACAGTCAGGTACCAGTCACTTTTACGAAAGACGGCATAGGTCGTCTATGAATTTTAGGTATACTTATCTTTCTGGTTTTTGTATTTCTCAAAATTTTTATTTTTTTTGGGCAAGATTTCAGAAAATTTCAACGAATCGGTTAAAATTATAGACTAACAAACATATCGTGTTTCGACCTGCATTGGATTGAAACAGGGAAGGCAATTTTAGAGGACTTAGAGGAGTAAAGAATATGTTGGTGAACAGAATTGGGTTTTAGCGATTATTTTTTTTACTAGAGCTCCAGAGTTGATACTGGGACAGTGGATCAGGTATCCCAATACTCGACATAAGGTGCGGGGAAATTCTTCAATCAGGCGAAGAAGCAATTGAGCTACACGGTGGGAAGAAATACAAGAGTCTTGCCGGCAGTCTTGGGATAATCATGTAAGTGTTCCAACGCTTGGTCTTGGGATAGTGATCTATTTGTCCCAATACTTGGTCTGGGGATAGTGATCTAAGTGTCGCAACACTTGAACGAAGGGTCATAGGAGACTGTCCCAGCACTTCAGTGAAGGTTCCTTCGAGAGTTTGGAAAAACTCTGGGACAGCAACGAAGTGTACCAACACCTGAGCGAAGGGTCCTTGGAGAGTTCAGAAAAAGTCCTGGGACAGCAACGAAGCGAACCAACACCTGAGCGAAGGGTCAAAGGAGGGTTCAGAAAAGTCCTGGGACAGTAACGAAGTGTCCGAAAACTTGAGTGAAGGATCCTAGAAGAGTTCGGTAAAAAAATGGGACACCAACGAAGTGTGACAACACCCGAGCGAAGGGTCCTAGGAGAGTTCAGAAAAAGTCCTGAGACAGCAATGAAGCGAACCAACACCTGAGCGAAGGGTCTTATGAGAGTTGAGAAAAGTCCTGGGACAGTAACGAAGTGTCCGAACACTTGAGTGAAGGGTCCTAGAAGAGTTCGGTAAAAAAAATGGGACACCAACGAAGTGTACCAACACCCGAGCGAAGGGTACTATGAGGGTTCAAAAAAGTCCTGGGACAGTAACGAAGTGTCCAAACACTTGAGTGAAGGGTCGTAGGAGGGTACATACGTGCATAAATGTACTAGGACAGTGCCAAAGTGTACCATGACCCCATCGAAGTGTACCAACACTTGAGCAAAGGGTCCTAGGAGAGTTCAGAAAAGTTCTGGGACACTAACGAAGTGTCCGAACACTTAAGTGAAGGGTCCTAGGAGAGTTTGGAAAAGTCCTGCGACAGCAACGAAGTGTACCAACACCTGAGCGAAGGGTCTTATGAGAGTTGAGAAAAAGACCTGAGACAGCAACGAAGCGAACCAACACCTGAGCGAGGGGTCTTAGTATGGTTCAGAAAAATCCTGGAAAAGTAACAAAGTGTCCAAACACTTGAGTAAAGGGTCCTAGGAGGGTACATAAGTGTACTAGGACAGTACCAAAGTGTACCAGGACCCCATCGAAGTCTACCAACACCTGAGCAAAGGGTCCTAGAAGAGTTCAGAAAAAGTCCTGGGACAGCAACGAAGCGAACCAACACCTGAGCGAAGGGTCAAAGGAGGGTTCAGAAAAGTTCTGGGACACTAACGAAGTGTCCGAACACTTAAGTGAAGGGTCCTAGGAGAGTTTGGATAAGTCCTGCGACAGCAACGAAGTGTACCAACACCTGAGCGAAGGGTCTTCTGAGAGTTGAGAAAAAGACCTGAGACAGCAACGAAGCGAACAAACACCTGAGCGAAGGGTCTTAGTATGATTCAGAAAAATCCTGGAAAAGTAACAAAGTGTCCAAACACTTGAGTAAAGGGTCCTAGGAGGGTACATAAGTGTACTAGGACAGTACCAAAGTGTACCAGGACCC